TAGCCAATGCTAACTCTTTCCATCTTAACTGCAAACCCTTATCATAAACATATTCTTGTTCATGCGCAATACTATCACTTCGTTTCAAACTCATAAGCTCTGACTTTATACATCTTATACACTTGTCACTGATGCACTTATCCTTGAGTTCTTCTATACGTACTCATCACGTCATTAGATCTTTTTAATATTCTTATGGTGACACCTGTTCACCATATTCTATCTTATCCACATAATAACAAAACTACTCTATATCGTATTTCCGATTCCAAATGATGAAAACTTTCTATCATTATTCAGATATGATTTCAGCTTTCTGAAATCAACTTTTGATCTTACTAGGCATTTCCTGAGGTGTCCGCTCTTCATCCTGCCTGGCCAGGGCAGGTGAATAGCTATCACAATCAGGAATATCACCTTTCACTTACTTCGAAATTATCACGATCGGATTTTCTACTGTATTAAACTATTCTTATTCTATTAGCAAGACAACATATTCCTTACACTATCAGATCAGAAATTTTTCAATCTATGTTGGCATGTACACCTTTTATGACACTTTGGACTTCGGTTTATACCGAGAATCGGCTAAACCTTAGCTCTGATACCATTAAATGTAACACCCCCAACCCGTATCCAACCCGGATACGAGTCCGACGTGTCACATTGACTTTTCAAATATTTATTCGTATAAAATAGTGAGTAATTTAAAAACTTTGATAACATTTAACTTATTCAAAACGTTTACAAAATGTATCAGAGTTCATACAATTTATATCTTTAGACTACATGCCAACTACACTCTATAAACAGTACATATATTTTCTGATCTGACATTTGGTAAGAAAAACTGACCTGTCTTGCTCCGCATTACTCTTTACTCTTCTCAAAACCTACGTGTGAAACAATCACACGCTAAGTCGAAGACTTAGTGAGGCATAACGACTTATAATGCACTTCATAACATATATCAATACATGCATGTTCTGTTCTATCATGATACCAATTCCATGCATTCTTCGTATCATATAAAATCATATCAGATTAATTACAGTAATACATACATACACATAATTCATCATTAACATTTTATCATGTAATCACATACTTTTATTGTTAACCTTTTCAATCAAACACTATACACACAACATCATAGGTTCACGTAACACATTTCAAACCACTTATAAACCCATCGTATACATATCACATTCAGTATGCTTGTTTAATCACTTTATTAGCCCATGTACACTAGTGAGAACTTAAGGTATGTGAGTACATTGAGGTTGTGCACACATATGCTGTCACCACAGCTCGATCAATGTCCCGAAGGACCAGTCCATAGATTCCGAAGAACCTAGGTAATCAGTCCATATGTCCCGAAGGACATAGGTAAACAGTCCATATGTCCCGAAGAACATAGGTAACAGTCCATATGTCCCGAAGAACATAGGTAAACAGTCCATATGTCCCGAAGAACATAGGTAAACCCTCGACCCTTGGCATGCCAACTATACCCCTAGCTCTCATATCACATAACATGGGCATTATCATTTATAACAGTTCACATTACTTATTCATTCTTTCTCTTATAAACACATATCTTTTCTTTTCAGTCACGTATCACATGTACGTGTAATCATTGATCTCATAATCACATGTTCCTTCTCTTCTATCACATACCACATGTATGTGTAAACATATATCTAATATCATATGTTGCATGTAATCACATAGATCGTATCATATAGTTTTCTCTTTCACATACATGTAATCACTTAGTCTATTTCATGTAATTATTTTCACTTCTCATATGATTTTATCATATATCACACAGCTCATATCACCTTACATTGTTTCATATAAACATAGATGTCATATCTTGTTCGCATATATTTTCCATATAACTCATAGTTCTTTCACATAGCTCATTATCATATTTTCATATCATATATCTTGTAAGAGATTCTTATATCATCATAACATATCACATATCACATCAACCATAATACATATATACAATAACATGTCAACACATATAAATCATACACGTATATACTTCTATTTATGAATTCATGCATTTTACTATGGAAATAGACTTGTTGCAAGTCTGATTTCCATTTAACATCATATAATACTAATATGCACTCACCTGGCCTCACTAGTCCATTCCAATCTCTTATCTTCCCTTTTTATCGATCTTACTTGTCAATGATTCCGGAACTCGTTTAGGCTATGAATCTACATTATACATTTTAAGACAATTATTAGATACCTACACCTTGTAATTAGATACTAGCAACTTAAACGAACTTATTAAACCAATATGCACATTTTTCCTTTAGGGGGAATCAGTTCCCTACTATGGGGGTATCGATTCCCTACAGACATTCTGGAAATGTTGTTCGTTTGAAGGGGTATCGGTTCCCCTTGAATGGGTACCGATTCCCCTTGCCCAGAAATCATATTTTCAACCCGAAAATTACTTCATTTCCACTCAAACACTTCATATATCATCCCCTTTTTATTCTTAACTCTAGTACACATACTTAAACCAATTTATATTCATTTATTTCATCTTAAACCTCAAAATCCTATATTCCATATGAGATTCAAAAATCATACCAAATTTTCAATGTGTTCTAATTCCAATTCTAACACTTCATACTTCTTAATTAGATTGATGACAAGTCAAATTCATCCCTAAAACTTCAACAACCATACCATATCAAAATTTCATCTTAAAACTCATATTGCAAATTCCTTCATAATTCCTTTATCTTATTGTTTAAATCCCATATAAGCTTTCCTTAAGCTTATTTAATACCCAAAGAATCAAAACTAAGCTTAAAACTTAAGAATTAACCAACTGAAATTAAACTTACCTTTGCCTTGCTCTCCCACGTATGAAGAAGAAGAAAGGAGCAGAGAACTCTGGATGCTTCTCAAATGTCCCACGTTTATATTACCTTAAAAAAATTATAAAAATCTTTCTGGTCAAATGATCATAATACCCTTAATTTCCTTTAATAATTACCAAATAACCTTCAATATATATATTCAAATAATCATTGAATTCTTTCATTCTTCTACTTTAGTCACCAAATTCTGAAACTTTATAATTTGGTCACTAACCCGGTATTGCGGATGTTACATAGAATATGTACCAAAGTGTCACATAGAAATGTCCCGAAGGACCACATAGTATTGTCCCGAATGACCGGTAGAACCCTCGACTCTTGGCATGCCAATTATACCTTTAGCTCTCATATCACATACTTTTGGGCTTTATCATTTATACCAATTCACATAGACATGTATTCACATATATCATGGTCACTTAGCTTATAACTTATTCTCATATACCCATATAGATTATGTAACACATAGGATGACATGTAACACATAACTCATGTATAACAATGCATGTAACATATATACATATGCTTATACTCAAGTACACATAGAAACCATATCAATAATATACTTATATTCATGAAATCATGCAATCAAACATTGGAAATAGACTCATCGCAAGTCTTCTTTCCATATGATCATATTTCATAGTAGTATGCACTCACCTTGGCCTCACTTAGTTAAGCAAAACATTTAACACTCTTGATTGATCTTATGTCTTTGAATCGTCCTGAACTTGCTTTCGATCGATATCTACACACTAATACGATTGGTATAAATATCAGAATTTGTATGACTACAATCAATCCTTAATAACATATGCTAAATGAAACACTTAATTCACCATTTCACTTTGAATGGTATCGGTACCCAAGGTACAATACCGATACTTCCTTATTGTGGTATCAATACCCTTTCTACATTCTGGAATTCTTTTCAAAAAATGGTATCGATACGTAAACATTGGTATCGATACCCATGGTACCGATACTACTACTTCGGTATTGATACTCATTAAAGAATTCATCAGCTTTTAACTTACGGTATCAATATTGTTCATCCAGTATCGATACTCAGACTCAAATATCACCTATTTTCACTTTGAAGTATTGATATTGTTCATCTAGTACTGATACCCCTTGTCAGAACTTACTCATTTAACCTGGAAATTTGCCAAAACTTACTTAACTCCCACTCTTTTAACTCCTTTCATGTCATTAAACTCAAATACACTTATTAAGACTAACATATATCACTTTAATATTCCTTAACATCCAAAATCCCACTTCAATACTTGAATCTAAAAAATCACACCATACTTTCAAACATGTTCTTAATCCTTTCTAATACTTCTAACTTCTTAATTAGACCCTTGACAAGTCAAATATGACTTTCAAATCCAATTCATAAACATTTTTCATCCATTCACTCAAAAACCCTCCTTACAAATTCCCCCATAACTTATCCATCTTTTAGTTTTAAACACCATTAAGCTTTCCTTAAGCTTATGTATCACTCAAAGACCAAAAACCAAACTTAAAATTCAAGAGAAAATCAACTTGTAAAGAACTCATCGTTGGAATGGAAACTCACGGCTAAAGAAAGAAGAAGAGAAATAAACCAACTTTCCATATACTTCTTCCTTTTCCATTTCTTTGCTTAAATATATTGTAAAATGAATTTTAAATTCATTTCTTGCCTAAAGACCATTTTTGTCCTTCCAACATTTAATTTTTGTTAATCCATCTTACACAAAGAAATTCCAATTAAGTCCCTAAACTTTTCAATTTATCACAATTTAATCACCAAGTTTAAAACTCTTACACTTTAGTCACTAATCCGATATTTGAGATGTTACAAAGAGAATATGATATCAATTGGGCCAGTTGGGCCAAGAGAATGAAAATCAGATCTCAACGTTGCCTTGTAGGCTTAGGCCTATTAACTTGATAACTACATAAATGGGCTAATGTGTATTTATCCACCATAAACATAAAGTTCAAATCTCTTTTACTCTTTCTTTAAATATACAATTCTCTCCAACATTTCATCGAACAAATTGCGAGCAAACTCTGTGAAAAAGAGTCATGCCGTCTCGAAACAAGGCCGCCAAAAGCAACATTCAAGATGGCTCCGTTCCTCAACACCAAGAGCATGTATACTCATTTTTATCATTATATATTGTGAGTCATTTGATTTTTTTACCTTTTTTGTTTTTGTTTATTTGGGGTTTTAACAGTTGCTATGAAAGAGAACGACTTGTTCATGTGCTTAAATCAATCCAGAGGCAAACGATTCAAACATAATATCTATAAATAAACTAATGCCTCCACCCTCTTGCCCCCTTTTCTAATACGACTACTTGAATGAACAGAGGATTGACTTGGCGAGAGTATTGGCTAGTAACTCCTTGCCTGAAAAAGTGTGGCTTAAGGTTTGATTTCTTAATGGTTTATTGATTTTAGTTTGAGCAACCTTGTGGTTTTATTATATGATTACAACATTTGTGACATTAGCAACAATTTGCAATTGGTGTTAACGATGTAATTGAACGGATGCCAGCCATTAAGGTACCATTGATCATTGCTAGAGATGATAAATCAAAAAAGGTACCATTGATCATTGTTAGAGATGATAAATCAAAAAAGGTACCATTGGTCATTGTTAGAGATGATAAAAAGGGGTCCTTAAGATTAGGTGAGCTTGTAAAGCTGAAAACAACAATTGTCATTGGAGTAAAGGTTAGGGGGTCAGTAATTTGCAGATTGAATTTAGGACTTGGATGGTTTTGACTATGTGTTGAAATATTTGTCTTTCAAAACTATAGGCTCGAGGAAGTGCTGTCAATCAAATAATGGAGAGAATTCTTGATGGTGATGAACTGAATCAAGGAGCAGCGCTTCAAGTTCAATGACTTGTTTGTTATTTGTTAGCTCATTGATTATATAGGAAAGAATTTATGTTATTCGGCAATTCAGTTGTTTTCTAACACATTTTCTAATATGAATATAAATATATGATCTTACCCTTCTTTCCTCTCTTGCTTGTTCATTCTTATTCCTTCTGGAGCAGCAGCTCTCTCTCTTTACTTTTCCATCTCCATCCTCTTTTCCCTCTCCTCAAGCCTTTGCCTTCCCCTGCAATGCACTTTTCCCCATCCTACGAGTGGTTTATTATGAAAGAAAGAAAAAAGCTATTGCTCTCTACCAAATGTGACAAAAATGTTAAACTTTATAGTTACTATCAAGTATAGCTGTTTATTTGAAGCATAAATGAGATGATAACTTTATCAAAGAGAAAAATAATTAAAAAAAAACAGAAAGATGAATAACATGTACATTCCCTTCACCAGGAGAAGAACAAAAGCAAGAGTAGAAATATCCAATAAATGATATGATTGGATGCAACTCTCTGGGACTCCCTTCGAGGAATTTTTAACATAAAACATCTCTTAGACTGGTTCAGGTGGCACTACTTTCAAACTCCGAATCCATTCACAGAAGCTGGGATCATCAAAATGAATAAAACTGCTTTTCAGTTTCATCCGTTGTTCTGTTGTAAGGGTTCGAAGCTGTGGAAACCTTGCCTCCTGCACAAGTTTCACACCCTACTTAATTGTTTTCTGACTAAAACTGAAAAGGCTTTCTCATTATCATTTTTCTCTCTTACCTGCTCGTAAGGAGGATCCTTGTGTGCTGGTATCAACCGAGAAACGAAATATCGAGCCTGAGAGCTCCCCTCCTGCAACAAAACCAGATCATTAGGCTCTTTTTTCTCTAATGGTTAAGAAGAAGAAGATGTAGAGGGGGGACCCACAACAATGCACATTTAATAAAAGGTGGGGCAAATCAAGAGAACAAAAACCTTGAATGCAAGGATCCGAGGAGCTGGAAATCGTAACTCTGTGAGCTCTTCAGCCAATGTTCTACAAGCTACCAAGGCTGCAGCACTTCTTGCTTCATCAGCTGCAAGTTCAGCTCCCTGAGCCAGCAGTTTAGAGGAAGATGTTCAATATTGTCCCATAAAATAAGTAAATAATAAGATGTAGTTTCTAAATACAATTCAAGCGAAGTAATCCACCAGTATCTCATAACATACCATGCAAACACATACATGCAGTAGAGCAGTGAAAAAGGAAATACAGACATCCAGCGCTAGATTATCACAGGGTATGCATATAATTTACAAAGTCAATATACATGTTAGACGGATGAAGTAGCTACTTTCTACATTTAGCAAGTCACGAATAGCTTCACACAAGAAAGGCTTCAAGTTCCCCCTAAACCAGGCCATCATCATTTTTAAACCGTGGCTTTATATTACAGAAAGAAATACAATTCTGAACACTAAACATGCGTGCCAGACTCCACAGTCAAAGATGAACAACGTAGAAGCAACTATAGCTGAATAGCTAGCTGATATACAAGACTAAGCTAAAAGATGGTTTACTTTACATACCAACCAAATGAAGACATCTGTACCATGGTCTAGAACAACGGCTGAATCAGACTGCATGACAAGATCATAAGCTGGCAATTCCTCAAAAGTGCCTCCTTCCCGATGCATTAGACAGCGGGGGGCAACCATGCGAAGTGAAAGATCAAAGGACGCATTCAAAAACAAATTCTGCAGTACAGATCTCTCATCCTCATGACCAACTATATTTCCCAGCAATGGGCCACGCCTAAGATGGAATAGAAGCTCTGGTAGTACAGATATTTCCTTTGGGAACCGATGAAGCTTTGACTTCGGCAATTGAGAACTAAATTTTAGAGCAATGTCTTTAACTCTTTCATCTATTGTTGTACGCATATCAATTGCATCAGAATAAATTTTTGCTCCCAAGAGAGTCCTCTTGGCAATTAGGACAGCAGCAACCTCATCTTCAACACTTTGAAGATATTCTGGAACACTATCTACAGTTGGCAATCTGATAGTAATCACTCTAGTTATATCAGCTTGATAAACATTTGAGTATTGAATGGCAAACTGGAAAAAAACGAAATCACTCTTGATGTCCTGCTTATTCTCCATCGATATAGAGAAGCATTGTGTTTCTTCAACACTCGGCATTTGAATACAGAGAGAAATATCATTCTTAAAGGTTTCATGGGTATCAATATGAGCCTCTTCACCAGGACCCACAACCTGAGTAATAAGAATGTCATCAGAACAGCGTATCTCCAACAAACCATGAGAGCCAGAAGCCCTGGCAGCCGCCCTTTGTAAGTTAATACCAAAGGCTTCACTGAAATCATCATGAAGAACAAAAGCACCCCCTGAAGCTTTTGCAAGAGGCTGCAGCACGGGAACCCTTACAGGGCAAGTTCCAGCACAGAGAATATCAACCACTGTGTTTTGTTGATGGGCCTCACGACCAAGATGCTTCATCCATTTTAATGCACTTTTTTCCTTATGAGGATAATTAGGGTGAGTATAAGAATGAGGGACAGATCCAGGGCCGTAAGTATTCGGTCCACCAGCGCACACAATGATTCTGCTGTTAACACCTGGCCTTTTAACTACACCTTGAGAAAAATCTGCAGATGGTCCTTGAATAACAGCCAGAGCAACCTCAACAGCAGTACCCAAGCACCTATCTCTTGATGCTTCTGGAACATTCAACTTGTATGGCCTTAATGACGAGAATATCAGGTGTGCCACCTCTTTTGAAGCATGCATAGGAGACAGGTATATACCCGTTCCATAAATCAATGCTTTCAAGGTCTCCTGACTTGGTGAAGTGCCACCTGGAATCACATCAGCCGAAGCAACGGATTCTTCTGAAAAGTCATAGACTGATACTGCACGACCATACAAAATGATTCCAATTCTTGTTGTTGGTGGCAGTGAATCAACAAATGCATGCAAGGAGCTCTGTAAATGCTGAAGGTGCAGCTCATCTAAACATTCATCAATGATGAGAACCACAGGTGCAGAAGTTCTCGAATCAGTAACTGGAACAAAACTTGGTCTCTTATTCCCTGTTTGAATGAAATCAACCAAAGGTGATGACAACTCAGGAAAATTACGAAGCTCTTCCTTGCTCAATGCTATGTATTCACCTTCACTTCCATTTAGATTCCCGCAGATTACACACTGCCATTGGCCTGAGCCAATTAGTATGTTGGAATATATATTCGAATAAGCTCCACAATCATGGCATCGATGAGGATCCCGTTGTACCACTTGAGGACCTAGTGAAGTCTCCCTCCCAGGAGAAACCAATACTCCAAAACCTAAACTAGGCACATTTGCTTGTTTCTTGTGTTTCAACACCTGATACACAAAATAAAAGGAAGAGGGGAAATCAATTATAGATAGAAATAGTGCATATAACTGCAAAGATAAACAGGTTGTAAAATATAATAATATGTGCATAATCATAAAATCTGAAATAGAAATTCAAGACTTTGATAGCAAAATCTTAGAAAAGGGACATTAAAATAAATAAATAAAATACTTCAGCTTCTCATTTCATTCCTCAAAGAATAAGAGATACCTTATGAGCTGAGAATAAAACGCATGGTGACTTTCCATCGGGCACAAGTTCCTCTATAGCACTGGGAAGTTGATGTTGCAGCTCCACTGACCCATTTGAAAAATATGGAGGTGAAGATGTGGGCAAAGATGAGGCTGATGAGAGAGCAACTGGCTGAGGAGTTGCAGGAGAGGTTCTGAAAGGCACAGCAGCAGGCTGGACTGGTGATATAAATACAGGGGGGGCAGGGGGAGTGCTCAGATGGGAAACAGGGCTTCCCGTTTTGAATCCATTTGCCGGTGATAACATAGCGGGATATTTTATTGAAGATGAAGGGATCTGATCTTGCTGTAAATTAGATGGAGGAAATCTAGGTGCTACAGGGGAGACTGTGGGAGGGGCAGGAGCAATTGGACTTTTATCAGGTTTAGACGAAAGAGAATCCATCGTTGCAATTGAAAATCTCCTTTAATTGAATATAACGCCAATCAAATTCCACCCTTGGAATGAATCAAACGTACAGGATTAAAACGTTTAATAATAACTTCAACGCAATGTTCACCAGAAAAAGCCGATAGAAACCCCATAAACAGAGATGATTAAAAAAAACTCACAAGTCTCAACAATTCAACCGGCATGATTAAAAAACAAAGAAGCGAATTTGATCCCTCGGCTATCTCCCCTCAATTCAAGCTTCGATACAATCCCTTCTTCCAAATTCCAGCCTATAATAAAAAATTTAAAACTAAAAAGATCAAATCTAGGGCTTTTTTTAAATAAAATACAAAATCAAGGAAATTTCATACCTGATATGAGACGGAATAAGAAAGAAAGGAGAGCCTTTTTTATTTGAATTATCGAGGACTTGGAACCTCCACAATCTATTGACTCTCCTTAAATATAACTCTTTCTTCTCCGTTTCTGTGTTGGTTTTTCGGGGCTTAATCTAAAGGAGCACGAGAAACAGAGCCCATTGCCATTGTCATCGATCTATCCATAATGGATTTCCATTGCGCACCCACGGAAATTCTCACGTGCGGCGCTAAATATATGACTAAAAAAAATAGTACCGGTTTTGTTATTGTTGCGTATAATAAAATCGGTAAAAATTACCGAAAATATTATTATTTCTATCGTTTTTGTTATTATTTTGACATTTTACTGGGTTTCTTAACAAAATAGGTAAAAACGCTATCGATTTTGTTATTGTTGTGCATAATAAAACCAAAAAAATTACTGAAAACATAATTATTTATATCGGTTTTGTTATTATTTTGGCATTTTATCGGGTTTCTTAACAAAACCGGTAACAACACTATCGATTTTGTTATTTTTTTACCGGTTTTGTTATTGTTGGACATTTTACCGGAAATTTTAAAAAACATTAATGTTTTAAATAGAAATAATAATGTTTTAGGTAATTTTTACCGATTTTGTTATGCCCAACAATAACAAAACCGGTAAAAATAGATTTTTTTAATGATAAAATTAGTAAACACAAAGATTTGTTTCCAACATTTTGTCCAGTATGGTTCTCAAACATAAAGTTTCCAAAACAGTGTCGATACATTTATTGTAAGTATCGATCATCAAAACATCGAAGCCGATTATTATAAAGTAATAGGTAAAATATACCGGTTTAGTGAGAGAATAGGTAAACATATGTGTCGATACATTTTCTAAAAGTACCAACCCCAAAAATATCGAAACCGATAATTATAATGTAATAGGTAATTTTACAATGTAACCAATATAAATATACCAGTTTTTTGATAGAATATGTCAACATAATATATCGAAACAAATTTAAAAAGTGTCAATACATTTTGTCCAGAATGAATGCCAAACGAGGTGCACGCATAAAGTGTCAATTCATTTATTAAAAGTATCGATCCCAAAAACATCGAAACCGATAATTACAATGCAATAGGTAAATTTACAATGTACTTGGTATAAATATATCGGTTTTATGAGAAAATAGGTTTACATAATGTATCGACACGTTTTAAGTTTGTGTCGACACTTTTTTTCAAAATGAATATCCAAGGAGGTGCACGCATAAAGTGTCGATACATTTAAAATTGTATCAATCCCAAAAACATCGAAACCGATAATTATAATGTAATAGGTAAATTTGCAATGTTACCAGTATAAATATATCGATATAAATCTTTTTGTTTACTAATTTTGTCATTAAAAAAAGTCTATTTTTACCGATTTTGTTATTGTTGGACATAATAAAACCGGTAAAAATTACCTAAAACATTATTATTTCTACGTAAAACATCAATGTTTTTTAACATTTCCGGTAAAATGTCCAACAATAACAAAGCCGATAAAAAAAATAACAAAATCGGTAACACTTTTACCAGTTTTGTTAAGAAACCCGATAAAATGTCAAAATAATAATAAAACCGGTAGAAATAATGATGTTTTCGGTATTTTTTTACCGGTTTTGTTATGCACAACAATAACAAAGCCAATAATATTTTTACCGGTTTTGTTAAGAAACCCGATAGAATGCCAAAATAATAACAAAACCGGTAAAAATAATGATGTTTTCGGTAATTTTTACCGATTTTGTTATGCACAACAATAACAAAATCGGTAGCGTTTTTTATCGATTTTGTTAAAAAAACCCGATAAAATGCCAAAATAATAACAAAATCGGTAGAAATAATAATGTTTTAGATAATTTTTACCGGTTTTGTTATGCATAACAATAACAAAACCAATAGCGCTTTTATCGGTTTTGTTAAGAAACCCGATAAAATGCCAAAATAATAACAAAATCGGTAAAAATAATGATGATTTCGATAATTTTTACCAGTTTTGTTATGCACAACAATAACAAAACCGGTAAAAACTGATAGCGCTTTTACCGGTTTTGTTAAAAAAACCTGGTAAAATGTCAAAATAATAATAAAACTGATAGAAATAATGATGTTTTAGGTAATTTTTATCGGTTTTGTTATGCACAACAATAACAAAACTAATAGCGCTTTTATCGGTTTTGTTAAGAAACCTGATAAAATGCCAAAATAATAACAAAATCGATAGAAATAATAATGTTTTCGGTAATTTTTACCGTTTTTATTATGCACAACAATAACAAAACCGGTAGCGTTTTTACCGATTTTGTTAAAAAATTCGGTAAAATACCAAAATAATAACAAAACCGATAGAAATAATGATGTTTTAGATAATTTTTACAGATTTTGTTATGCACAACAATAATAAAACTGGTGTAAATTTTAACCAGTCACTTGTTAATCACGCCGTTTTTTAACCGTCGCACAACCGAACAACCCCACCCTTCCATTTGAACCAACCGTAATGGTTCATTTTGCCCTGCTGGCTTGATCGCTTGTTTCTACGTGTCACACTCTTGACCCCTAGCTTTTATATTCCCCAAATGTATAGTCACATAATCTTACGGCTACGTTTATAAACACTTTTGGGTAATGAAACGACGACGTATCGTTATCAGCCATTAACGTTATCTTACGATTTCCGGTCCCACTCTTTCAATGGATACGATACGAATACTGTATCAAGAAATAAATAAATAAATAAATACAAACAAAAAAGGGCACTGAGTTCGTACTGTTTGGGAGCTGTGCCGACTGTCGAGTTCTTAATATCATGCCCATTATCACGACAAAACCCTAATTTCCTTAGATTTTTCTTTCATTCGCGCCCAATCTCCGCCGATGCAGCACGAGGACCCTAGAAACGGTGAGTCGGCTCACCGCAGCTCCAAAAAACCCAAACTTTCCTCCAAGTTTATTACCGAGTCGGATACCCGTGACGAGTTCTCTCACCACCAGCCACGTGTCGCTCGCATCAACAACGGGAGTTTTGGTAGCTGTCCCGGCTCAGTTCTCACTGCCCAACGCCATTGGCAGCTGCAGTTCCTCTGCCAACCTGATGCCTTTTACTTCAATACCCTCCGTGACGGAATAACGGCGTCACGGAAAATCATAAAGGACCTCATAAACGCCGACCACGTCGACGAGGTCTCCCTCGTCGATAACGCCACAACCGCCGCTGCCATCGTCCTCCAACGGATCGGCCTAAGTTTCGCCGAAGGGAAGTTCCAGAAAAACGACACGGTTTTAATGCTCCACTGCGCATTTCAGGCCGTTAAAAAATCAATTCAAGCGTATGTCACTCGCGCCGGTGGCTCCGTTATCGAGGTACGGCTACCATTCCCAGTAAATTCAGAGGAAGAAATCATTTCAGAATTCAAAAAATCAATCGAGGAAGGAAAGTCCAACGGTAGAAAGATAAGGTTAGCGATTATCGATCATATTACATCAATGCCATCTGTTGTTATTCCGGTAAAAGAATTAGTTAGGATTTGTAGGGCGGAAGGAATAGAGCAGGTTTTTGTAGACGCTGCACACGCGATTGGGAGCGTGAAAGTAGATGTCAAAGAAGTTGGAGCCGATTTTTATGTTAGCAATTTACATAAGTGGTTTTTCTGCCCGCCTTCTGTAGCATTTCTGTATTGTAAAAATTCAACTTCATCATCTGATTTGCATCACCCTGTTGTTTCACACGAGTATGGAAATGGATTGCCAATTGAAAGCTCCTGGATCGGAACTAGGGATTATAGTTCTCAGCTAGTGGTTCCTTCAGTTTTGGACTTTGTTAACAGGTTCGAAGGTGGGATTGATGGGATAATGAAGAGGAACCATGATGAAGTGGTGAAGATGGGGAAGATGTTGGCGGAGTCTTGGGGGACAAATTTAGGAACTCCTCCAGAGATGTCTGCTGCGATGATTATGGTTGGTTTGCCTTCGAGGTTGTGTCTTAATAGTGAGGAGGATGCTGTGACATTGAGGTCGCATTTGCGAGATCATTATGGGGTCGAAGTTCCAATCTTTCATCAGGTTTCCAAGGACGGGGAAGAGGAAGTTAGAGATAAGGATGGGTTTATTACAGGATATGTGAGAATTTCTCATCAGGTTTATAATAAATTGGAAGATTATGAGAAATTGAGGGATGCTATTAATCAGTTAGTTGAGGATGGGAAAACGTGCAAAATGCTTTATACAGAATGAAGAGGTAATTTCTTTGACATTGTTGCATTTTGGATTGGTTTGTGCAGCTATTTCCGCTAATAAATATTTACTTGTCTCAGTTGTCTGCTTAATGATAATTGTATTCCTGTAGGAAGAGAGTCCATAAGTCTATTATTACTAGGGGAAAAACCAAATATTTCTTCAATGTCCCATTATTTTTCTTATGCTAGTTGAAGTATTCTGATTCTAATTTAATGTTGAAACTGCATGTCTTTGTTAATGAAATGTTTTAACCTGCCTATTCTGTTAGAATCCTTTCTTTGCTGTATACTAGTGGAAGAATGGAATCAGATTCATATTAGTTACCAGAGAATATATACATAAAAATAAGTGACATTTCTAAAAACTTAGTATACTGCTCATACTGATGCATTACTAGTTCAGGGAATCAATATTCATCAGAGGGGGGCAAAGGGAGTTTTTCATGCTAGATGTAACTAATGTGCTTTTCGATTCGTGTGAAATTTATTCTAATCCAAAACCAGAAGATTATGTACCTTAATATCTTCTATTTATGCTTGTCAGGCAGTCATAACAGTCGGAGCAGCATTCTACGGAATAAAATCTGTGTTTTTCCATCTTTCTGATGCTTGTGGCATCACACAGTTCTTAAGGAACCAAACAACATAAAGGAAAAAGAGCAGCGCAGAAGAAATTATATGTGCTTCTTGGAACCGCAAAATCATTTTCGGAGAACCTCTGACCAATGTAATCTGACATGTGTCTGGAGCTTTGTTCTATCAATCCCTGTAGTTGGACAATAAATCTATGAAATCTAGCATTTTTTAGCAGTTAACCTGCTTTCGGCTGAATTTTGTTTTTCTTTAGAATATCTCAAGTGTTCGAGTTTACATGTGTTTGTAATCTGTATAGTATTTGTCTGATACGAATTTCATAAGGCAAGCATCTTTAGCATTTATCAAGACATCTTATGTTATCCCCCAAAGATTTAGAAACGGAGGATCCTGCTGCCTGAGCGGAGGTAATGAAGTGGTGTCTCTTGGGACATGGTTTTCTTTTAGCTAATGACCAAGGTCGTAAAGTTCAATCGCAGAATTTTATGTAAAGGTCAGAACTAAAATTTTATGAAGGTACCAGAATTTTAGCAAAATTTTAGGAGAAACGAAGTGAAAATAGATTAATAGAATAAATATATATAAGAATTTGAAGGACGATTGCCCCCATATTATCCCTATTATTGATGGGACAAGGATAACCTACATGAGAGCAGAAAGAGGGAAATGATAAAATTTTGAAACAACCTAAAATTTCAATCTGGCATTTGACATTACTACTGAAAAGCGAAAGATAAAAGCATTTTTACATTTTCAGCTAGATCCTATAGCACATTAACTATAATTTCCTATTCACACTAATCCGTAGCTATCATCATAGAAGAATGAAACAAAACGAAGACTCAAGATGATAGCATCAAGCATTCATTATCTATGTCCTTGCATAAAAGATATGCAACGATCAGATCAACGTCGTGTAACCCGACGCCAGTGCATGTTGGATTAATCCCAAGCCTAACAGAGTCTTCATTGATTCTTGAAGCACTTTCTCTTTGGGTGTTGGAGACTCTCACATTTGGAGCTGTCCTGCACTTCCCCATGCATTTGCAGGTAGCAACGGTGGCTTCTGCACCTACCTTCTTTTCAAACTCTTCTAACAAGGCAGCAGCTCCCAGCTTCTTACACTTTCCACCCATGCAAACTTCAATCTTCTTGGTTGATGTCCCGCTGTTGCTGTGGTCAGCATTGAAGCTATTTAAGCTGCAACATTCACCATCAATAAGAGGAACTCGAACTCGAATCTTGGGGCTAGAATCCGAGTTCTCTAGCTCCAAAAGTGAGTTAGCTAATATTGATTCCTCTGCCACCATTGGTGCTGCTTCTATTTCTATCTCTTGGGGTCGTTCCAAGGCATTGTCAGTTGGTGCTTCTGTCTCTAGGGATGGTTTCAAAGCATTACTTCTTAGGGTTTTCATGTCAACTACCTCTCCACAATCGCTGTCACTTGATTCAGAGGAAGACGATGATGATTCTGATTTCCCCAAAGTTGCGTTGAGCTGGGCTTGTCCCTCTTTCAATTTTCTCTTTAACTCCTTTTGTTCTAATTTCAACTTTTGCAGTTGTGCCAACAAAACATTACTTGCTTCCTGTAAAAAAACAGGATTTGAGGATTCAAATTCAATCCAATAGACCACAAAAATCCTAATTCATTTTTTCTAAAAAATTCTCATTGAAAGAAAGGATAACAGTTCAATTAAAGAGAAAGTAAACTATTTTATCAGGATCAAACCAATCACAAAAGTCAGAAGTAGAAACAGAAAAGGAAAATTAATCTCTTTACCTGAATCATCGTCACCTTAACTTCAGCGGCCAATCCGATCCTAATATCCTGGCCCGCAGCAAGATGAGGAAGCATGGACAAATCCTTAGATAATCTCTTCATAAGCTTCAACTTCTCCTTGACTCTCCTGATCTCAGTGCTTTTTCCCTTGCCTTTTTTCGTGGCAACGCCACCGGCATCACAACCACCGCTAGGCGCTGCATAATACTGGACACGCCCTAAATCAGAAAACTGGAAACTCAATCTGCGGCAAGATTTAATCCTCGACCTAACTGAAACCCTGGAACCTCCAACACCAATATTCAACTCCCCGGAAAACCGACCGCCAATATCAACCCTAGCCGCCGGAAGCCCTGAAACCGTCCTGCAAACAATGCCTGCGGTCTCCATGGCGTGATCCGATGGTATATATTCCCGTTTAGCTTTGGAAAAGGATCGGATGGAATTGAAAGAAAAGCAATTTCATATATATTGAAATATACGTTGCCTTAACGGTTTCGGTTTCCTGGAAGGGAAGGGACTACTTTACGTGTCACGCTATTAATGGTTAAATTAAATCTAAAGCTGACGTGGAAAGGTCAATGCCCTTGGCGGAGGCGGTTGTGAGGAATTCAGTTTACCACGTTCTATGTACACAGAAACATGCGTTTCGTTTGAATATCAGCGGTGCGATGACCTTATCCGATTAATAAGGGTTTGGATTTGGCCACCTCATCGTTACGTTTCTGCCGAGTGGCAGTAAAGTTTTCCTTTTAGTGCCACGTAGGCGTTACAGAACACATCGTGTCCTTGTCGGGAAATAAAATCCATGAGAAATAGTATAAAGAGATGGCCTTAGAAAACGGGCAACGAATTTTTGGAGCAATATCCGGATATGTTCATTTATGACTAAACTTTTTAATATAAAATAATTTAATTATGATAATTAGTTTTATCATAATATAAATATGATTTATGTAATATAATTACGAGTATTTATTAATATATTAAAATTAAAAATTTAAATTAGAATAAATTAATTAAGTTTTAATTGAAAAGATAATGTCAAATATAATCATAGAAAGAAAAAAAAATTTAATAGAGAAAACATGATATAATAATAAAAATATCATTTCATAAAAAAATAAAATATTTATTAAAAACTACATCAAAGCTCAAATATGTAAAATAAAACTAAAAATGAAAAATAATGTATAACAAATTATCATAATTTAATAGGAGAAAAAAAATCAAAATCTTCCCTTATACGCACAATCTAAAAAAAACTAACATTAGATCATATTATATTCAAGACTGAAGATTAATGCATATTGTAGACATTTATTTTTGTCCATATGGCATTTACATGATTTATGTGTTATTATTTATAGTATATCCTATGTGTATTATATTACATAATATACACATATTATATATTATAATTATATAGCGTATGTTTATTACTATTAATTTGTTTTTCATTACATGTTGTAGGCTTGAATATTCGGCCCAAGATTATTACAAAACTACTGGCTCACATGGGACCTAAAATCAACTTCCTAACGTTGAACCCAAGCTTTCCCAATGCCGCATGCCTTCATCCCAAGCCAACCACCATTTTTCACGGTCAAACGCCCACCTGTCTCGGCCACCAACAAGCAAGGACCTCGTTAGCATTACCAACAAACCACAACGTCAATGTTTTACTAGAAATCAAACACTCTAAAAATAGCATGTAATTTCATTATAAATAAAGCCTGTAATCGAACCTAAAGGGGAGGACACAGAGGGTTGTACACGATTTTACAGTGGAAATACAATAAATATACGAGCAAAATCCTAAAATATTCTTATCATTCGAAGTTCTTTTTTTTCTCTATAAAAATTCGAAAAGAAAATCACTGAGACATTACGCACGAATATCTCACTAGCAGACACGAAATATACTCAGGACAAAAAATACGGGAAGCATTTGAAACAGTGGGCAGATAATACAAAAAATAAGACGAGGAGTATTCAAAAGAAATACCCAGAAAAAAGACGCAAGAAATACTACGAGGAAACTAAAAGGAAAAGAAGGGAGAGAAGACTTACTACGGTCGTCGGAGCCTCCACGCACCATCGAAGAAATGAGACATAAAAGGTAAAATTTGTAGATCTACGTCGTTAGAATATTTTTCGGTTGAAACAAGGCCGGAGTGTTTCTGAAAAATTTGTAGATCTCGTTTTGTAAAAGTGAAAAACGAAAATGAAAAAAGATTGAACAAGTTAATGCAGTTACCTACTTTTAATTATTATAAGAAATAATAGTAAGAACAAATTTATCCATGAAAACGCAATATTCAAGATTGGTGGGTCCTATGTCTACCATCATGCTCACTTTGCGCCCACACCATCACATGTTTCACTATTTTGAATTTGAAAACTTCTTATTATATTTATTCAATCTATTTTTAGTTTACCTTTTTTAATTTCAATAATACTAACTTTATTTTCTTAATAGTTTAGAACGGTTAAAGTGTTTAATATTTGTTTATTTATTTATTTTTTAATTATTAATAATACATATACATCATATAAGTACCATTATCAATAGTTGAAGAAAATAACATTAGTATACCACAATAGTTAAGTTTCAGTATTTTTTTATTTATTATTATTAATTTTTTCCTTTAATTTATTATTTTATTATTATTATTATTTATTTTCATGTTTATTCTGTGATTTATTTATTTAATATATTTTTATCTAACATTTTTGACTCATTTAGAAAATTTTCAACCAATCAGAGGTAAGTAATTCGAATCGAGTTTTTTAAAAATTTAAATTTAAATTTTTAATTTTCGCAATGAAAGATAACCGACAAATTAATTGGTACCGAAAGGACGGTTCAAGGGTGCTAATCCTTCCTTGACCGTAACCGACTCCCGAACTCGACACGTTTCTGGTACAACACAGATCAAATAAGATGGTGTCCGACCCACCTAAATTCGCTCTAAATTGGTCGGTGGCGACTCCCAATCCACATTTTCCAAGTCGAAGCCCAATTCCGGGGCCCAACCGAAAGACGGTTCCGACAGCTTGGTGACTCCACTGGGGACAGGTAAGTGAGTCAGGCCGAAATTAATTTTCGGTTGTCTTTTTATGCGAAAATGGTAAATTTAAATTTATTTATTCGATTCTAATTATTTATCTTAGATTATTTTTCAAATAAATAGTTGTATTGACGTTTTTTTAATGATTTCAGAGTTTTTCAAAATTGTCATCTCTAAGCTCTAAACCCGAGCTCCAAACCCGTTTTAAGTGGGGGTGAAAGCGACGCATTCGTGTGAATTTATTCACCGCATATGCCTAGCAAGTAGCCTTCGGGATTCATATACCTTATGTCTTCGTGTGAATTTATTCACCGTGCGGGCATAAGGGAATGTTTCCTCTCGAGTTTAACTTAGTCCACACAAGCTTGTAATGAGCTTAGGACTAAGGGTCTGGCAAGCCCAAAGGGGCACCAGCAAGGAGAACTTGAATACCTTTTTAGAACCTAAACCGGGAGAGTATAAGGAATTAGAGCTACCCCAAAACCTCATTCCAAACCCTAAGCTGCTTTATTTCATGCTTTATTTTCTGTTCAAAGCATGCGAACTAGACAAATATGCGGTTAGGATTTGTTTGAAATTAGCATGCGGGATAGAGATCATGTCCGGGTAGGAAATAAAGCATGCGGGGTAGATATCATGTGGGGTAGGATTTTTCATTTTTTTATTGTTTTGATTTACCTCACTAACCCTTTTATTTTTTATTTTCTTTTATTTTGTGTTCATCGTTTGCATCATTTAAAACGATGTGTTGATCAACCAAAAATGTGTTTGTTAAACATGAATAATCTGCATTAATGGACAAAGGGGTTATAATACAAAGAGATAAAAAGCTCAGAAGTCCATCTGTGGTCAAAGAATACTCAGAGGCAAAGGTTGCAGGGGCAAGACGAGGAAAATGTTGCTGACCCATATGCTCCTTTTGAAAACTACGATAACAAGTGGCGAAACCCCAGCTAAACTGCAGACCATTATTGACAAATTCTAGAAACAAGTCGATAAACTTCGGATAGAGGGCTCCAATGGCACTTTCGTTTGGATCAAGCTCGACATAGAGTGAAAGCCGGAGATGCAGTCATTCGAGACCCCTTTTGGGGCAAGCATCCCATCACCTGCACAAGTTTAGCCAAAGGAGCCGGAATGGTTCGACAGGATATTCAACCAGTGAAAAAGACGAATCAACTTGTCAGAAGCTGTGCAGGATTTGTACCATCAAAAAAAGTTTTTTGTCTCTTCAGACGTAACACTTTTGTCACCAATAAGGGTTATTCAGAATAACAGGCACATTTTTTGGATCAATTCTCGGACATTTCATGCATCATATATTTAGACATTTTGCATTTTTTTTCTTTGCATTTTGTTATTTTCTTTGCATTCACATTAACTAACATAAGCATGTCTCATCAAAGGGAGCAAATACTGGATACACCGCCTCAAGCATTGGACACACCTCATTCGCATAACACTCGTTTGAAGAAGAAGAGCATGGAAGCCAGAATTACACAAATCGAGGAGAATATGTTGAAACTACAGAAAGAGCTAGAAGATAAGATAAACCAAAATAGTCGAAATACTCTAGAAACAATCACAAAGAACCAAGAGTCCTTGGTTGATCAGATCGTTGCCAAGTTAGTTGGCCTACAACAGACCAGTGCGCCTGGGGCAGGTTCACCGGAAGAGGTAACTATACAACCTACCTCGCAAGTGGTTATCTCACCTGAAATCTTACCAGAACTTCGAGGGGACTTATCTGCTACAAAAGCAAAGCCCTCGTCCTCTATATTTAACCCTAAGAACAATCCGGGTTATTACCATGTACCAGATTTGGACGAAGAGGACAAAACGAGGAAGATGGAGGAAAAAATCAAACAATTGGAAGACCAAATGAAGGTAGTCAAAGAAGACCATGACTACCATGAAATCGATGTCGCAAAACTCAGTCTAGTCCCAGACTTGGTTCTTCCTCCGAAATTTAAGTCTCCGGAATTCGAGAAGTTTGACGGGAACAGTTGTTCATCCGCTCACATCACCATGTTCTGTCGAAAGATGACAGGATATGGAGGAAACGACCAGCTCCTGATTCACTGCTTCCAGGAGAGTCTGTCGGGCTCAGTCATTCGGTGGTACAACCAGCTAAGCCGATCAAATATCAAGACCTGGAAGGACCTGGCTAAGTCATTCTTGGAACAATATAAACATGTCAACGACTTAAGGCCAGATCAAGTTATGCTACAAAGCATGGAAAAGAAGCATAACAAAAGTTTCAGGTAGTACGCACAAAAATGGAGGGACTTGGCTGTGCAAGTTCATCCACCTTTAGATGAAAAGGAAACTAGAAAGTTGTTTGTACAACCCCTGAAGGCACCTTACTTTGGGCAT